CCGCCCCCCCCCCCAGGTCCTCCCCCCCCTCAGGTCATGGCCTCTTCCAACGACACAAGGATAAATTTGTCCTGTATTCCCCCTCTAATTTACATCAGTCCTCAAGTGGTCCTTCATTGGTCTTTTTGATGTTCTAAGTTACAAACCAGAAACCGCCGATGTTACCGACTTCCCGGGTTGTCCTGTCCCAAGTTCAAGATGGCGGCGCCCAGCAACCTGTTAACCGCCGAAATGAGTCCTTAGCATGGTTCACAGAATTTATCATAGCGCAGTCAGAATCGGGAAAGCCAGGCTAAAATATATGTCGTTGTAATCCTCACAAGTCAGGGAACCTCGGGAAGTTCACTTGAAGATCACACTTGTACACAAAAACGAGCTTTGTAGCGTCAAAGTTGACTCATTTCCATTTTTCGGCGAGGTTTCCGCCATTGGATTTCCGTCAAAATACGCACCCTATGGGGGTTTCGCGGTATCTGGTTGCATCTGTTTCCGGGTCACGTCCAGCGACGTCATTACCCGGCGAAGGGCCGCTGCCAAGCCAAGGGCAGTGTACTGCGCAATACTCACCCTTTCGGGAAAGAATCCTCAAGAATTATATATATGGCTCTTTTGCTTCAACTGAACGAGCCACTGACATGTATGCACATGTGTAAAAACGAGTACGCTAGCAATCATTCGATAGCCGATACATTTTGCCTGTATCGTTGCAAACACGTCGGACGACAACACGACTTTCACCTGAATCACATTGCGCCCCGAAAATTACCTAATTTTTACCAAAATTGTTGTTAGACAGCATGAAGACAGTCCGACTTTAAAAATCTCAATCGTTGCAAAATCGTCTCCCGTGTATATAATTGCAACCATACAGGTAAAAGTCAGGCTTCTTCGGAGTGCATAGAAGTGTATAAATATTGTCGCCCAGCCCATATAGGCTGATAGGACACCATGCATGAGTACGTGTGATACAGAAATCACATGATTTAAACATAAGTATAAAATAATCATCAACTAGAAAGGTGACCTTTGCAAAGCCGTTACGGTTTCACAACTTCTTCCAAAAAATCCTTCACCTTTTGGTGAGTACTCTTTCTCGCAAAGGCGATTAAGGTCTGCCCTCCGCGTCTATCATATAAATGATACACGCAAAAGTCGGGTCGTCTTCGAAGTACCTTATGTATCATTTCAATGATACGTGTAACTACCTAGGTTTTCCAAAGTCGGACTGACTTCCAATATAGTAACCCCACTATCATATCTACGCATGTGTGAGACGGGTACACTGTACCGTGGCAGCAATCATTTAAATAGCTAATAGAAGAGTTACCACTAAGGAAAACCTAGGTAGTTACACGTATCATTGAAATGATACATAAGGTACTTCGAAGAAGACCCGACGTTTGCGTGTATCATTTATATGATAGACACGGAGGGCAGACCATAATCGCCTTTGCGAGAAAGAGTACTCGCCAAAGGGTGAAGGGATTTTTTATCGTCTCACACATGCGTAGATATGATAATGGGGTTACTATATTGGAAGTCAGTCCGACTTTGGAAAACCTAGGTAGTTACACGTATCATTGAAATGATACAAAAAGCACTCCGAGGACGACCCGACGTTTACGTGTATCATATATATGATAGACACGGAGGACAGACCCTAATATTCTCGCCAAAGCGTAATTGGAATTTAGGGAAGAAGTTGCGAAACCTTATTGGCGCGGCTTTTTAAGAGCCAAGTGGTAACTCTTCTATTAGCTATTTAAATGATTGCTGGTACAGTGTACCCGTCTCACACATGCGTAGATATGACAGTGGGGTTACTATATTGGAAGTCAGTCCGACTTTGGAAAACCTAGGTAGTTACACGTATCGTTGAAATGATACATAAGGTACTTCGAAGACGACCCGACGTTTACGTGTATCATTTATATGATAGACACAGAGGGCAGACCATAATCGCCTTTGCGAGAAAGAGTACTCGCCAAAGGTGAAGGGATTTTTTGATCGTCCCGCACATGCGTAGATATGATAGTGGGGTTACTATATTGGAAGTCAGTACGACTTTGGAAAACCTAGGTAGTTACACGTATCATTGAAATGATACATAAGGTACTTCGAAGACGACCCGACGTTTGCGTGTATCATTTATATGATAGACACGGAGGGCAGACCATAATCGCCTTTGCGAGAAAGAGTACTCGCCAAAGGGTGAAGGGATTTTTTATCGTCTCACACATGCGTAGATATGATAGATAATATAGTAAATATTGGAAGTCAGTCCGACTTTGGAAAACCTAGGTAGTTACACGTATCATTGAAATGATACAAAAAGCACTCCGAGGACGACCCGACGTTTACGTGTATCATTTCTATGATAGACACGGAGGACAGACCCTAATATACCCGCCAAAGCGTAATTGGAATTTTGGGGAAGAAGTTGCGAAACCTTATTGGCGCACCTTTTTAAGAGCCAAGTGGTAACTCTCCTATTAGCTATTTAAATGATTGCTGGTACAGTGTACCCGTCTCACACATGCGTCGGATATGATAGTGGGGTTACTATATTGGAAGTCAGTCCGACGTTGGAAAACCTAGGTAGTTACACGTATCATTGAAATGATACATAAGGTACTTCGAAGACGACCCGACGTTTACGTGTATCATTTATATGATAGACACGGAGGGCAGACCCTAATATACTCGCCAAAGCGTAATTGGATTTTTGGGAAGAAGTTGCGAAACCTTATAGGCGCGGCTTTTTAAGAGCTTTTTTATCATGAAATTTCACTCCGCAACGTTTCCTTCGCTCTTTGGCGTGTAATATACTAGTAACCGAACCTCGTAAGCCGTAACCCGGAAGTAGATGGGATTAGCGGTATCACGGAAACCCCCATACAGTTCGAAAACCTACGCCAAAATGAGTTCTTAGCTAGCGAATAAAGGTCAACTTTGACGCTACAAAGCTCGTTTTTGTGTACAAGTGTGATCTTCAAGTGAACTTCCCAAGGTTCCCTGACTTGTGAGGATTACAACGACATATATTTTAGCCTGGCTTTCCCGATTCTGACTGCGCTATGATAAATTCTGTGAACCATGCTAAGGACTCATTTCGGCGGTTAACAAACCGGCTCGACTCAGTCGTTCTCTCGCTGGTTTCTGGTCTAAACAGCGTTTGAAATCAAAAGGTGCGGTAGAAGCCAGCTGACCTGCAAACCGAAGACTTCAGGACTTAAAATATCGACGACACGGCAAGTAAGAAACTTAACGACCTCGTATAACGGCACATTTCACTGGTACCGGTAGCGTAGCAATTATTTGCTCTCGAGCTCTCTGTCAGTTTGTCAACAAAAACATGAACACACGTGAGGCTTTTGATTCCATTACGAGGAGATTTTGTACATAAACAAGAAGAATATAGTCTCGGAAGTTATCACAAACCTTTACATCTTGCTGTTGATGTTTGAAAATGACCACATACCTTGATTTTTCAGTGTGGTACGCTATAATCATGATCCCTTCAGCTGACCAATGCCTGACGTGTTACAATCAGAAGACCAGGTAAGAGCGCCACCGTGCGATGAAAATCGATATAGCAACTGTCATAAGAGTGATAGTTACCTTCGTCGAGAACGATCATAACGTTATACAGGGGTCGTATAGGGGTTGGTGATTTTTAACCGGTTATAACTCTTGCGTATTTGTCTTCCTGAATTTAGTACATTTACCGAGCCTGGTTTACCGGGAGCCCTTCCCTTGAAGACCTTCACAATATGATTTTATATTGACCAACCAAAACTGTCGTATCAGGAATTCTGATAATTCATTAATGTCGACATTAGCGAAGATTGAAATAACCAATCGTTGAAATTCTAAAGCTGGAGAGCCTTCTTTCTTGTAACCAATCAGACGATTCCATTGAATAGACCAGATTTTTGTCTCTCTCAATGGCCGTGTTTATGTGAAGTCACCCAAACGTACCGCGATTCGGGTAACTCACATTCCTCACATCTGGTCCACGTGCCATACATTCGTTTTAAAACGTGCCCGATCACGATTCTCCGAAACTACATTCATTGTTGTTTGATGAAAACACGCTAGGTAGTGTGTTATTATTGTCAGAGGTCAACGACCTGCTTGCTGGTGCCCCCCTCCCAGCGTATCATGGCCGAATGCCGACGTAGTCCCGCCAGAGGCGGTGAAGCTCGTCCTAGAACGGACACGTTATTTGACCATTACTACTCTTTAAGTTGCTGACACGTAAAATTTGGTATTGCATATAAATAAAGAAATATCACCCCGTACTCCATGACCAGGCGAAGTCACATTGAAATCACATTGCGTTCAGATGCAAATCGCGATGCGGGAAAACCGATTCGAAACCACCTCTAGAAGTGGCTTGGGATCGAGGCGCTTTCAATGTGATTTGGAGCGTTCAGATGGAGCCACTTGAAACCGGCTTCGGGGTAAACCACATGTAAAGCGCCTTGGGTGATTTCACATAAACACGGCCAATATTTCCATCGTTAACGTTATATGATAACGCAAGACAAAAACATCACGTGGCCACTATGCATGGCATCTGACGACTGTTTATTCAAATGTAATTCACTACCTTAAGTATAAAGTTTTGCCAAAAAATCACTTTTTCATTTGGGTATTCCCTATCGTTATATTACCGTACTACGACGATTTGAAGCACACAGAGAAAAGCTCGTCCACCAACTAATTAATAAACGTCAGCACTCTGTTCAATGCAGTACATAACAGAAGAAAAAATTAGATTGTCAGAAATACAGTTATCATTCTTTTGTTGTTGTCTGAGACCCAGAATCCAAGATTGACCCAAGGGTTTTTTACGACTTGGTAGTAGCTATATATAGTCCCCGGCTCACTTTTATTTCCTTCCATTCTATAGATAAATCCATCGGCTCTGCATCTGGGGCGTTCGCGATCGTCCACGCTCTTTTGATTTTCTGCGCGTGCGACCCATTTTCAAGTATAATCACGTGTACAGATTTTTGCTCTTCTCTGCTTCTGATCAAGATATATTCTGGCTATAGGAACTTGAAACATCTATCACATTCAACAAATATATGCACAAACAAAATAAATTCACTGCTTCAGAATCAAAACTACTTAACTCAAGTGAAGTGAGTACTGTCTTGTCCTGTATTCGTCCTCTGCGTTGGTGGCGGAATAAAATAAGTTGATATAACTTGAGTGTGCTGTCACCATGTCAAGTCATGAAAATGTTGGAATATAAAAGAAGAAAAATCTACTGTTTCTCTTTCTTTGTTTCTTTCTCAGCCCCACCCATTGTTTTTTTTTTTTTGCGACTGAATACATAAAAAAAGAGAGGTCCTGCAGGTTTTGTACGGCCCGTGTCGAAATGTTGTTGTGTTTCTTGTCATGTTCTTGTCACGTATCGACCACGACTTCTGCCACAGCAGCGCAAAATGTCAAGTCGGCGTCATCATTTAGGTTTAATTTCCTGCTTGTTCCTCATTTCGTGCGACATCGCTACGAGACGGAGAATTTTCTTCATCTTTGTTCTCCGTTCGACTCCTCAAACCTTCTTGTTTCTCTTCCGCTCTCAAATCTAAAGTAGGAGAACCAGCGGCCTCTTCGTCCTTGATTTCGGAGTAGAAGTGGGTCGAAGACGGGTCATAGACATCGTCATCATCTAGTTCACAGTAGCTGTGGGTGGAAAGTGCTGAAGAGTGACGACAGGTGCTTTGTTCTTTTGGATCAATACAGTCAGGTTGAACCGTGGATGTTTTGTACATCGGATTGCTGATCAGATCCGTGACGTCAATAGACGGACGGCTACCGCGTGTCCTGGCGACATTTGGTACACCTGTTTGGACAGTGTTGCTCAATTTCCTGTTCTGAACTCTTACAACGTTCACAGAAGTGCCACGAACCTCTTCGTCCCTGATCTCGGAGTAAGTGTGCGTTGTAGACGGATCATAAACGTCCTCGTCTTTTACCTCTTCGTAGCTGTGAGTGGAAGCCGTGGAAAAGCGACGGTGGGTCCGCCTTTCTTCCTCGTCAGTCACAACGGAACTACACTGGGCCAGACGCGGCCTTGCAGTAGTACCTGGCACATTTGGAGTGGCGTTTCTGTGGGTTCTAGTCGGATAAACGTCCTCGTCCTTTATTTCGCAGTATGTATGGACAGACGAACCACAGTCAGTGCTTTTTTCGATCAGGTCATTACCACCCGAAGGTTGAGCCAAAGTTTGGTTCGATGTTTTATACATAGGATTACTAATAAGCTGCGTTACATCGATAACCTGATGGCAGGGGTCCACCTGGACCGGTACATTTTGAGCGGCATTCCTGCTACGTCTGTACTTGCAGACCATCACTATGAGTAGAATTACAAGTCCGGGCACGGCGATTAGTGATATGAAGTATCGAGAGACCGATTCCTTCGCAGTTGGTGATGTGGCACTGGATTGGACAGTGGGAATAAGCGTTCTGTAGGGATCTAGTACATTTACTATCATGGTGGTCAACCTTGTGCCATCGGTCCTTTTCTCTAAGTATCCTGTAGCAGAGTCGGTGGCTTGGTTGTTGGACTCTGTACTGGTAATCTCCCTATCTGGATTGTCTGGAGGAAATTTTGAATCGGGGCATTCCGAGTGTGGCCCTCTCCCAGTGCCTGGAAAATGCGACGGCGGCAGACTGCCCACCTCCCCGTAGAAAAATACAAAGCAGGATACGTTTGTCACACTCGACTCAGATTTGGTCACAAAACCTGGACTTCTATCGTACATGTACCTAGATATCAAGGCAATGCCGTCGCTTCTCCTGGTCACTGACTTTTCTGTATTGTGGATACCGACCAGCTGCAACCCCACCCCACCTTTCAGGGCTAAAGTCATTCCGGCATGTCTAGTCCAAGCTTCTGGACACAGGTTACTGGAAGGTAGTAATTGCCGGTCGCTTTTTGGTTTCTTCAAAGTAGTTGCGACAACGAACGGTGGTTGGATGTTTATGGGGCCAATTGCATGTGTCGAACACTCGGGTTCTTCTCCATTAAACAATTCGAAATAGAAAACGTCCACACGAGCCCATCTGAGTTGGAAGTCTCTTGTCGCTGTCGTGTATGTGAGGCAAAAACCCAGGTTATCGATGCGGAAGCGAACCCTCTGTTTCTTCCGAGGAAAATCAGTTTTGTCCACGGTGAGGCTCCAGTTCATTTTGTCATCTTGCTCCCAAGAAATGACACGCTCTCCCCCTACGCTGAAGGTTTGGAGTGACGGCCCCGAAAGAATTCTCTCGCTCAGACACGTCAGAGGGTTGTGGCTTACGTTCAGGACTCGTAGATTGTGATGGAAGGCGGTGTCGGAAATGAATTTAATCTTGTTGTTACTCAGAATCAGTGTGTGTAGGAAGGCAACTCCACGGAACCACTCACTCGCTACTTCCGAAAGCAAATTGTGGGACAAATCTAACATTGTTAAATATGGGGCTTCTTCGAAACACCCAGGTTCTAGCTTAGCAATTCGGTTGTGAGGGAACGACAAGTGGGCGAGAGATGGGTGCGAAGTGTTCAGACCTGAGAACGAAGCTCGTTTCAGCTGCGACAAAGTGTTGAAATCTAAATACACTGACCGCAAGTGTGGAAATATGGCGAACGTTTTGTTCTCGATCGCGCCTATACCTGCATTTATAAGGACGAGGACCGTCAGTGAAGACGGGTGGATGTTCTGCAGGGTTTGCGAGGACAGGTTTCCGACGGGGAAACTTCGCAGGGCGACCCACTGGGCAGGCGGGAAGGCTCCGTGCTGGGCAAGTGTAGCGCAGGTACCGGCTCTGTAGATTTCCGGGTGGCAATTCGTGCAGATGCAAGTCATGTTGTGGTAGAAATTATCACGAACCTTGATGTCGTCTCGCACGCACGTGTGCCAGGGTTGTAGTAAGCACTCGGGACCTGAAGAGCGGACGTCTGTCGCCGCCACGCCACCGAGAACAGAACAGATCACCGTGAGGAGCCAGCAGCCGGTCCGCTTCATCCTCACAGTTTCCTCACGACGGTTGCCTTTAAGTTCAAAAATTCTCCCTGACAGATCAGGCTGGCTGTATAGTAATGTACAAGAAGGAACACAACTGAGCGACTTTTTCCGGTTATCGAGGCCTAACAATTTTTTTTGCGAAGCAAGAGACAGGCACGGTGCACCGACTATGAAGCGAGGCGAAATGTAATTTTTGTCGAACTAGTTCTGCTCTGCCTTATATCGTGTTGCTTGTTTGATCCAAGTTTTATTCATGAACAACTCACACAGGAAGAAACGTGATGTGTGGTTGTTAGGTCAATAAGTCTGTCCTAGGAAATTACATTTTATAACGATATCAGAAACTAATTATTTTATACCATCGTGTCCAAAATGCCCCCTTACTTCCTCACTATTCCCTGTCACGAGAAAACTATTTTACTACTAAAATCAAAGAACCCACATATTATAGAAGTGGGTAAATTCGTCTTCTACTGCATCAAAAGAAGAAGTCAAACCCAGAAAAATCAGTACCACGTACATGTATGTTGTAGAATGTACATCATAGTGTAGAGGTATGATGTTCGACGTAGTCTCGTCTGTCATTTTTTCATAGTTACATGTTAACGTTGTTTGTACCTGCAAGTAGCTATCGGGCAAGTATTTGCAATAATCGTTCTTTATGAAAACCCACCACTGAGACGAGAGGATGTCCTTGACTTGTTCTAAGTATTATGACTTAATGTATAGAATGTATTTTCATCTATACATTAATTCATAACACTTAGAACAAGTCACACACCATGTCGATGATGCTACAGTTTTGTTTAGCAGACATATGTTTCAACGTTTTACGATGTGTTTGGGAATCCATCCAAAGGAGAAAACATGCATGTAGATTATTGTCTGTTTCAGAAATGGATTATTTTCAGGGTAAAAGTTAATCCCTGCTTCAGTCCCAGAAACCAAGATTAACCCCAATGTTTGTGACGGCTTTGTAGTTGAGTCTCAGGATCACTTTCCCCCCCTGCACTTGTGATCCCTTCAAGCCGTTCATCCTTACTCTTTTTCTTTGAGCGACCCAATAATAAAGTTTATAATGATACATGTACGTTTGCCCTCTGTGTTTGACACATGTTAAGTGCGCATGCGGTGTACTAGAAAATGTCAGTACATTGCTAGGATTTTTTTTTGATCTTTGTGAATAAGTTATTTGTGTGGCATGTGTTTGCCAAAATCAATATTGCAGGAAAGTCAACGCTGGAAAAGCTTCCATAAGGAGGATTTGGTTTCTTTGCTTGAACTCTATATCTATTATACTATGAAATTCACTCGACAAAGAAGTTAGGTCAAGTCAACTCTTATAGTACTCTCCATACAGTCGCACATACACAGAGAGAGAGAGAGAGAGAGAGAAATTACATGAAAACTGAACTGTCTCTAAAATATTATACATTATAAGAACTAGTAACTTTTCAGCAATTACACATCATTTATTGATAAATGTCCAAAACACGCGCGAAGCGGTCCCAACTGCAACTTAGACTTTTTCGTCACCGTGTCCAAATGTTTCCTAATAGTATATTTCATGAATAACAAAACGGCATCGACGGCAAAAAGAAACAACGTTGATTTGACATTTGATGTGGAGTAAACAGCACCTGCTGCACAGACACCTGATAGTTTCCGTAGGAATTAATATTTAGAGCTCGAGATAGGTCAACTTTTTATAACGGGCAGATATTGGTCTGAGTTTTCGCATAGTCTAAATATATCATATGAATGTGCAGTAGGTTCTGTTTTGTCCACATCAAATTTCAAATCAATGGTATCATTTTTGGGAGGCGACGCCATTTTGTTATACATGGTTTCAGCAATTGGAAACATTTAGACACGTAAAGACAAGAAACAAAACCGACAAAAAATTGCAATTGGGACCACTTCGGGACATTTATCAATAATTGATGTGTAATTGCTTGCTTGTGGTGTAATATTTTAGAGACAGTTCAGTTTTCATGTAATTTCTTATGCGTGTATGTGTGTGTGAGTGAATGGATGGATGAATGAATAAATTACTACGGGTTGAATGAACTCTATTAATTGTGACTGTATTTGAGTGTGCGCTTGTGTGTGAGTGCGAGCAAATGGTTACATTTGCTTTGTAACATTTGCAAAGCAAAGTATAATGTTTCCCCTCATATGGCCTAGCCTAACAAACTACTGCTCGGTTTATTCTTACTCAAACACCATGGAGACCAACCTTTCCAGGTGTGTCCTGCTACAAAATGTAACCCAACACCACAGCTAGGGTATCTGCTACACCAGTTACCATGGTGACAGACGTCTGGTCCAGGTTATTAACCTCATTTGTTTAAAATTGGAGAAGAAGAAGATGAAGAAGAAACTGAGCAAAAACGATCTGTTTTCCTTCTGCGAAGGTAAACATCATTTCACAAAGATTTGTTTCAATTAGAATACAATATTTCAATTTTTGGTGCAAAAATGTGACATAATATCCCTTTAAACATAATGTTAAAAGCCATGTTTAACTCTAGCCATGGAAACACAGTCACAGATTAGATGCCACAGCCATTTATTTAAAAAAAAAGGTAACAGTCATCTTAATTCCATAAATGTGGTAAATCTCAACTTATGGTGCAATGCTTTATGATACAACTTTTGCCATTACAAGAAACAAGATTGCAACCGAGAAACAATGTTAACGTAATTCCATCATTAAGACCATAGGGGTGTCATAACATAATAGGGGTGTCAGAACATTATAGGGGTGCCAGAACATTATAGGGGCGCCAGAACATTATAGGGGTGTCAGAACATTATAGGGGTGCCAGAACATTATAGGGGTGTCAGAACATTGTAGGGGTGTCAGAACATTATAGGGGTGCCAGAACATTATAGGGGTGTCAGAACATTATAGGGGTGCCAGAACATTATAGGGGTGCCAGAACATTATAGGGGTGTCAGAACATTATAGGGGTGCCAGAACATTATAGGGGTGCCAGAACATTATAGGGGTGTCAGAACATTATAGGGGTGCCAGAACATTATAGGGGTGCCAGAACATTATAGGGGTGTCAGAACATTATAGGGGTGCCAGAACATTATAGGGGTGCCAGAACATTATAGGGGTGTCAGGACATTGTAGGGGTGTCAGAACATTGTAGGGGTGTCAGTACATTATAGGGGTGCCAGAACATTATAGGGGTGTCAGAATATTATAGGGGTGTCAGAACATTACAGGGGTGTCAGAACATTACAGGGGTGTCAGTACATAGGGGTGTCAGAGGATTGGTGTGTAACTATTTGGAGGGTTCTTACCCATTATGAGACAATTATGTTGTCAGCATCCTTCAAACTACAGATAGTAAGCATATAAATGTTACAATGCAATTAACATTACTTGTACATATATTTACATCCCACCCCTTATCTAATTAGATTAAATTTTACACTCCATGTATCGCGAATATACAATGTACACTAAATGGATTGTCCCCTTAGACACACACTGCTGACTATATTTACATGTATGGTACACATAGCCATGTACACTCTACCCATAGCCCCAAATAGCCCCTCCAAACTATACCCATAGCCCGCCCACTTCCACCCATAGGCCTGCAGACCTCCACCTAAAGATAAAAATGCTACTATTTTAGAGATATGTGGCTACTCCCTCATTGGATGAACTTCTAATTGCCCTGCTATCATTTATTGAAGGGCTAATTGTGATGGACAGACAGGATCGGTCTACTACATTGTGAACCAGTATACAGGTCTGTTGTAATTGGATGGGTGCTCAGCACACTACTTGATGCCCTTCGCAGCCAGTTCCTCCTTCACTCTTGTCAAGTACTGGGGATCAGGGTAGCCATAGCTGCAAAAGAAGGGAAGATAAATTAATCATATGACTGATACAGTTTTGGCAAATGTGACTACTTTTTGGTGGTCTCATATATTTTCCCACTGTCACAAGCATTATAAAGACCTATTTTGTCATTATAGAATAGATTTTTAGACCCCTAAATTGTCTTGAGGACCTGTAGTTTTGACTACAGTTAAAATATTTAATACCCAACATATGTGATACATGTGGGGTTATCAAAGACCAAAAATGATCAAGATTCATAACATTTTGTATGAGACCGATTCTTCTCCCTACTGCCTAACCTTGTAACTTCTTCAAGGAGAGGGTTGTTAACCCCTTACAACTTTAGCAGTTGAAGAATCAAGGGTTGCAGAAGCCAACAATACATACCTGTTAGGACCACCATACTTGCTGGTTTTGTGGTGGATGTCATTCCACACCACAGTATCAGTCTGTCCTGTAGTCACTGATGTGCCGATAGTGAAGACCAGACGACTGTCAAAGGCACGTTGTAGGAGTCGGAGAACTTCACGACCCTCCACGTTGTTTGGAAGGTAGGCTCTCCGTGACGTTCCAGAGTAGGGCTTTCCTGGGTTTGGGTGCTCTGGCTGAAGAGAAAATATAACGAATTTAATTCATCTATTATTCAAATGCTGCAAAAAAGTAGGTAGTTGCTTGAAATACTGGAACAGTTAATAGTTAATGTAAGACTTGTCTAAAACAGAAACCATTTCAATATTGTATTGCAGAGACCACAACAGATTTACTCCTATCTGGGACCTATGGTGTGACAAATACCTCTTACAGAATTACATATCTTAGCCCAAGCCTAGAGATGTGATTATGTTTTTTTTGGGGGGGGGGGTGTCCAAACATAGGGATGTCTAAACACATAGGGTGTCAGACCATCATAGGGGTACTGGTGTCAGAACATAAAGGGGTGTCAGAATATAGGGGCATCAGAACATAGGAGATTGGAGTGTCAAAACATTATGGGGTATCAGAAAATAGGGGTGTCAAAGCACAATGTAGAAATATGATTATGTGTAAAAATAAGAACATGTTGACAACATACCCCTTGTATACCACCAGAGAAGTAGTAGCTGATTTCAATTGTTGAGTGACTTTCATACCCGGAAAGGCCCGGGTTTAGGTAGTCAGTGTGATGTGTCATCGACCCCTGGGGCTGGTTGCCTTTCAGTTGTCCAATGACAGACTTGCAGACAGGGCACTGGCCAGAAACCTTCATGGCATCGTTCAGGCAGTCTGCACAGAACCTGTGCTTACAAGGTGTTGTCACCGGCCTAGTGAAGTCACAGAGGCAGATTGGACAAGTGTCTTCTTTGTCTGAGTTTCCAGAAGCAGAGGGTGATGATGTTGAGTAGTTTGGAGTAGGATGAGGATATCTTGGTGTTGTTGCAGTTCCATGTGGGTAAGAATAAGACGTTGCGTTGACGTATGTTGATGTTGGACCTGGGTACTGTGGAGGGGATGCTGATGCCACTCCTGATGACATGTTCTGATGTGTTTGCCCCCAACCACTATATGATGCGTTTGACAAGTTACTAGTAGTTGATGTCTGTCCACTGCTGAAGGACAGCCGGAGACTAGAGGATGTCTGACCGGTCCCCTGGGATACTGAGGTGGACCCTGCACCAGGATAACTTGTGCCTGGACTAGTTGATGAGCCAGAAGGTGGATACACTGGCTGCAAGTTGGGACTTGTCAAGTGGCCTTTACTTGCGTTGAACTTTCTCAGCATCTTGCCGAAGGCATCAGAAAAGACGTCAGCTGCTCTTCGGTCGTTGTCGATGATGCGAATGTCAACAAGGCTGTTATCTTTGGAATTCTCTATGAAGTCTGTGATGGCACTGAACATGGACTCAGCGCAAAGATCCCTGGGCATGCCACAAGCACCTGGAACAGAGAGTGAGGACTATGAGTCAAAACAGCTCAGCATATACATACATAAGAATAATTATATTTCATAGCATCAGGATCTACAGTAGATAAAAGTTACTTGGACCTTACACATTTTAGGCATTGAATACCTGACATGTACAGAGAAAATTTGACTAACATTAATTATCTTCTTTGTAGAAAAGTGACTGACTGCTGCCACACAATGATGACTTGAGATAAAGAAAAGCATTTCAAACAACAACCTTTACCACAATTAATCTAAATTTTCATTTACTACTGTATTAATAAAAATTCAACAATCACCTGAACTGATGGCAGGCATAGCAATGGACACAGCCTTCAGCTCAGAGGCAGCCATTCTGAGCACCTTGTGGCATGTATCATGTAGGTCCTGCTGACTTCTGTGTGCACCAAATGCTAAACTGTAATGTGGGCCGACTGCGTGGATAACAAATTTGCAAGGAAGCTTCCCTCCCTTGGTCCATACACAGTCAGTGGTGTCCAGGTTCCGGTAGCGTCTTTGACGAATAATTGCGTCACACTCTGTCTGGATGCTGCTTCCTCCTGCTTTGCTGATAGCCCCTGATACTCCCAAGGTCATACTTAGCGAGCTGTTGGCTGCGTTAACTATTACATCTACTTTCTGCTGGGTGATGTCACCCTCAACTACGCAGATCTGGACACCTTTTATGCTATCTCTGAAGGTCATTTTGCCTACTAGTCCAGGATTGGCCAAGACAGCATTTGTACTTGCTTGGCCTTGTCCTGGTCCTACACTAGGTGATGTTGGTATGTTGCTTGGGGGTGGTTTTCTTCTCCTTGACTCTGAAATCTTCAAAATGGAGCAGATCTCTGCTCTTACAGAACGAACCTCAGACTCATCCCCGAAGACGATTATATTTCCGTCCCTGTTCTTGATGTAGACAGATGGAGAAGATTTCTGCACACATTCTACAGCATATGAGCAAGTCTCTGGTTTGACATCATGCATATTTGTGTCCAGTGGAATAGACTTGATTTTGCTGTGAAGACCCTGGTACAAAGTGATAAAATCTTCTAGTGCATCTTCTGCATTATACTTATTCAACCCTTTGAAATACACCACAGTCTTATTTTCACTGTGCCTGAAGGTGACGTTGTGTCTCTCTGTTATGGCCATGATTTTTGATTGGTGGACTTTGATGATGTAAGATAATATGTCAGGCTCTACAGGCTGTTCTACAGTGTCTGTGCTTGTATTCTTGCTGTTACTGATGACATCTTCCTCATCATCAGAAATATCTCCCAACGTGTATGTTCCACCTGGTCTTGTTCTTCCATCTGAATGGGACCAGGGTCGTCCATTCCTCCATTCTTCAGCTGCAGAAGCTGTCTCACTGTGCAATGTAGAACTAGTTTTCACAGATGTTCCTGACATTTTGTTTCCAGAACTGTGTTTTGCGGTTGGTCCTCCTCTTGAGCGTGAAGGTTCTAGCAAGGAAGGGAGTTGTGGTGTGTCTTGTTTTGGTCTTATTGTTCTTGTGTTGCTTGACTCATGCACTGATGAAGCACTGCCGGGGGCACTTATCGACCGCTGTAAGCTTGACGGCCTTCCATCATTCCTCCCTTCCCTCTGCAAGTTTTCCTCTCTTGGCTCTGAAATCTGACTACGAACGAATGCCCTCATGTTATCAACCCTGCTTTCATCAATCGTTGTGACTTGTGCGGTACTCCTGCTGCTACTTGCACCACAATTCTTCTCTTTTCCTTCCTGCAGTGGTTCCACTACTCCCATGCTGCTTTTCCCATATGCTGATGACGTGCCACCAGGAGTAGTTGTTGACTGCTGAAAGTTTGCCTGTCTCCCATATTCCATTTCCTCTTTTAGCCTATTCTCTTCTCTTGTCTCTGAACTCTGACTACGAGTAACTCTAGCTCTGTCATCATCCCACTGGCTATCCTCTGGCATTTGTGCATTACTTCTGCGACGACTTGTACCCCTCTTCTCTTCATTTTTGTCATACGGTCTTGCATTGCTTGCTCCTTCCCACTGTTTTCCGTCCAAACCTACTCTTTCCCGGCCTTCACTGGGATTCTTCGTCTCATTTTTGACAGCTGCTTGCATCCAATGTTGGCTGTCACCAGCATGAGTGTTAGAGGATGTGTCTTCAAGTTGAGGCTGTTCCAGGCTGTTGGTCACATCTTCCTCTGCCTGATTCCGGCCATTCCTAGATCCTGTCTCTTTGGAATCCAAACTTGTGGTGGACTCAACTGCATCAACCTCACAAAGCAAGTCAAAGAAGAGATTTCTGGCCCCAACCACATCATTCCAGCTCCCTTTCAAAGTGATTGTGTCATTTGTCGTTGACCTTTTCAATGAGATGTTTAAATCTGTCTGTGACATCTTTTGCTCATAACAGTTCCATATTTGTTGGCTTACTGGCTGGTGAATTTGCACTGTAGCACGCTGAAATAAGGAACAGTAACTCAGTTACATAAGACCCATTACATGTACCTGCTGGTCCCACATTTGTAACAAATTATTTAATTTCATCATTGATATTTGTTATCATTTGTTGATAGTAAGTGTCCCACATGTCAAATAAAGACTTGACTAGACTTTATTGGGATCCACACTTAGCTTACAAGAATTGCAGCTGAGGCAATTAAGGTCTGGTTGTTAAACACCAGCACTGAATCTAGCAATAAAGTAGCACTGGTGTATCCTGTATTCAAACCTTTTATTAAATAGCTGCCAAGTCTCTTTTGTTTTCTCTGCAAGTAGTAATTTTTGACAAAAGAGACTTGGCAGAAAGAGACAAAGCATCTGAGTGTAAATTTAAAGTTTTGGACACTAGGCTAGCTCTAGTGTCCTTCAAAGGTGTTTCAAAGAACATACCTGAACACAGTTGGACTCTCTATGTCTGGCTCTGTCCATCTCAAGAGCCCTCGCAAGGAAAGACGACCAAGCCTGGACCTGTAGGGTCACTCCATCCAGATCATGTTTCCTAGCAACAACACTGCGAACGACTGAAAATTTTTTTTTTATCAGTCAATGTTTTAACTGAAATCTAAAGTTGCAGAAATAAATTTATACTGAACAGTAAACAATAATGACATGGAACAACAACCTGATTCACTCTGTTCATAACCTCACAGAGTATGTTGACACAAATTTATGCATGATAAATAATTTTTGCTAAAATCGAGGTTTCTGCTGCAACAAGCAAGTCTAGATATTGACTGAGAAAGAAATATGACCAGGGTTAGTGACATCTTTCCAGTCTACCAATAGAGCTACAGCATTACCAATCTTTCATTAACAGAAGCATAAGCAAGAACATTAGCCAATCAGCTCGCTTCATGTTGTGATACATGTATATGGGGACACAACAGTAGGGTACAGCATGTCGGCAGTTTGCTGTGGGATACTAGACTGCTTGCAATTCAATCACTTTCTGTCAGGGGGTGCAACTAATATGAAAAGATCAGACCACACTTTTTCCTCCCCCTAGCCAGTCCGGACTGGACTGCTTTTTCCACAAACCCAATATGACTTGTATATGAGTTTTAAGGCTGCCAGTCACTCATTATGTACATTAAGCCAGCAGCCTCCTAGGCTGAGTGTATAATTTCACCAACCTTTTACATTTTCAAAGATGACCTTGGCCTGTGAAGGTGACAGCCTCCTGACCTGTTTCACATCTCCCCCACCACTAGCCCTTCGCTGGAAGTGTATGACCACCTTGTCATCTGATAGGGTGTGGGGGATATTTGACACCAAAATGGCCCTGTTGTCATCATCATCATTTCCGCCCCTGGGTTCCCTGGGTAAGGATTAGATTCTCACATTGGTCTCTGAGTTTTAGCATGGCAGCAGGGAGACAATTGTTGCATTAGAATTACATGATGTAGAATACAGATTCTTTATTGACACAACAAAAAAGTACAGAGACTTTTGTATGGTCTTCTACAACTTAACTAAAGATCTAACAAAGCTAAATACATATAGTGCACTACAAAAATGTAACGTTACATGTACCTGACCTCATACATGTAAATAATAAAATAACATAATATCTATGTCACAGATCAAGTACATAACGTTACATACATACATGCATACATACAATCATATATACCTCCATGCATACATACATACAACCTACCTATAAATTTGCATATCACATAGTTACGTATACATATCTGCATGCATACAATTAGTTTACAAACCTTACCTATATAAATGGGCATACATACACATGTAACGTTACATGATGCATACATACCAACGTAACTAACGTAACACAATGGTACAATTTACAGTGCATTATATGATATAAATGGAAAGGATGAAAATAATACGCTCGAAAACAAAGAACCAATGAAAGTGAAAGTGAAAGAGATCTCAAACCAGCTAAATGTACCTCACCATTGGTACAGTAAAACCTGCTCAAGACGTCCACTCAGATCAGGGGAACCAATAAAATCTGGTCTATGTGGACAGGTGGTCACAATAGGAGGATTCTTGTTGATATGAATATATTCTATTAAAGGTACCACCAAAAAGTGATCACGCACATTAGCCAGGCAGGAACAGATGGACATAGTTGAAGCAATATATAATTGGAAGACACACTGCACTAAACTCCTCAGTCGGTAGCAATTTATGATTCTCCCTTCTCAATGCAACTTCCCATGGCTGGGCTATAATTTAGACCACCCTTTTCCAGAACTCCTTAGTACCAAGGCAAGATGGCGCAACAACGTTTAACATTCAGGACAATAGCGTAACTATGCAAACAAGAGCATTTGTGTGCAGGGCTCAAAGGTAGCGGACTGCAAGCTTGTCCCACACAATTTACACTAGTAAGCACTGTCTTATGTATCGATAGTAGAGTACTCACTCCGACGCAGAGGCGCCCTCGAAACTTTCTTTGCTCTGTGACATCTGCAAAGTTGCGGCTGTGATCAAATTATGCAGCTACAACTCTTGCAAAAGTTCGCAGCAGCCGCTGCCCTTGGTCTCTCTCGGAAACAGGGAACCTTTTTCTCGGTACGAAAGCAACCAAGCTACCATCGGTCAGGTGACTCTAACGGACCAACCTCGGGATTTTCCCCCGCCAAATGTTAACCTTTGACATCCCGCCAGCCAATCAGCAGCCGCCCTGACCGAAACTTTGGATGATGTAATGGTGGGACTTTCCACAGTTTCTAGGGTCCCAGGGCGAAGTGCACAGCATTGGGCAGAAAAGCTTTTACTTTCACATTTAGACGGCTGTAATGTGTTACTGTGTGACTATCACTCGAGACTAAGGACCCTCAAAGTAAGCGTATACTGTGCAATATTCCAGTTAACGTTATATAGATAATTTCAGGTGTGCAAAAGTTACTTCCGGGTTTGTGATCTGTCGGTTCTTGGCTGAGAGGGGGACAAACATGTCCTCTTCCAGTCGGTCTGTTCATGTCCGCGGCCTGCCCGAGCTGGGCGGACTACAGGACAAAGTCACGGGATACTTCCAGAGCGGGAGCCTATCAGCTGGCGGGGCCGTCACGAGGGTGAAGTTACTGGGACCTGGGCAGGCTGTGGTCACCTTTGCAGACGAAACAGGTGAGGCAAACACAAATTAAACTAATTTGCCTTTTTGCCCGCCTTGTTGTCAAACGTGCATGGCTTTTCATTCATTTCCATCAGTGATCTCTGCAGGGTGTTGTAGAAAACAGGAAGTTATCGGCAGGCACGCAGAGGGGACTTTCATATTGTGATTAGCCTCTACCAGGCTTCAGAGGTGGCTGGATAGAGTAGAAATTGGCCAAATACAGTAGACACATGCCAGGGGGGGTTAGGTATCAATACATGTAATACATGTATCAGCATACAGTATTTGTTTGCAGCACAGCACCAAGCAAATTGTCATTTTTTGCTCCATGTGTAACTGAATTGGAGATGTTTTGATATTCATATTCACACGAGTCTGTATTAGAATTTATATGGGGATTAATTTTACGTGAGGACTTGAGGAATTTTTTTGTGTGGTTAAAACATACATGTTGGTGTGTAACCAGTCTTATCTATTTCCCATGGGCCAACATGTATGTTTTAACCACAATAAAATCCTCCAGTGGCCCAGAATGTGCTTGCCCAGCCACAACACAGCATCCAGGGGACCAGGATCAAGGTGACGGCATGTCCTCCTCACCTGGATACACCTGAAGAACCAGGGGGAGATACAGAAGAGACAGATGAAAAGGCAGCAGGTGACGAGACCAACAAGGATGAGGAAGAGTCAGCATTGTCAGAAGAGGAAGTGAAACTTGAAGAGGCAGGAATAGATGGTCAGCAGTGAGAATTGTTTCTTGTGAATTCTTTAATGATAAAAAAAATAGCTTTGCATTTTACAGGAATAGCTGTTTCAAATTAGTAAGAGTCAAGTTATGTACTAGTAGTGACAACAAAACAAGCAAACCTGTAGAATGGATGTAACATAGCAGACATTAACATTATTGACTTCTTATACTACAAATAAAGCCAGGAGAACTTTTATACTGATAATACTATATTAATATGTTATTATTAATCATAATGATAATTTGATCTCCAACTCTGTTATAGTTACCCAGTGTTTCCAAGAAATTTTGTAAGAAGGTTTGATAACTTTTGTGAGCTACAAATTTGTTTACCTTTGCCCAATAGTAGTGTGTATACATGTACCTTAGAGCAGCTGGCAGATATATTTTGTACCTTGGACTATTGCATTACAAAATTGTGTGGGCAAAGTCCCTTTCACTTACATTCAACATGAAAGCTCTTGGTTAAAATTATTAAATCATATGCAACTTCTTTTGGTCATCAGTGAGATTCAAGAAATGCCACTATACAATTAAGTAAATGATTTTCTGGTTAGTAATTCTGATAATTATGAAGCTATAGTCCATTGGTTGTTTGAAAAAAAAATCAACTAAGCAAATAATTTATCATCATGATTTTAAAATTTGCTAACTGTTAAGTTGTACAGCTATATAATCATCAACAGAAATGTCTATAATAAATGGATTTCTTGAACATATTCACATGTAATGAAACATGATCCTTTTAAAAATCTTAGTTGTAGAACTGCAGTCACAGGGAAGTGTAAAGGAATTGATGAAGAGATTTGAATCACCTGACCCAATGACATTTCTGGAAAAAGACAGGAAAAAAAGAGGTACTGCAGACAAGTCTTATCTTTCTACTTGAAGTGTGGCTTACCTTTCAAACTGTCTAAGTAATTGTGCAAGTAATTGTCATGGGTATTATGCTATTAAAGGTGTAATGTTAAAAAATTTGGATAATCTGCTCGGCAAAGACTAATGCTTTTTTCAGTCAATAGAGTAAAATACTGGTAGGTACAAAGTGCTTCCTGCTGCCTAACCTCATTACCAATAGAGAATTGGTGACCAAATGGCTCCTTGAGTGTGTGAAAAGTTACTAGTAACTGAATATAGGATAAGAGTAACAACAATTCGT